TAAATAAATAAATAAATAAATAAATAAATAAATAAATAAATAAATAAATGAATAAATAAATAAATAAATAAATAAATATTTAGAAGTGAAGATATCTGATGTGTGCCCCTGTTTCCTTATTTCCAAGTGTTTTAAGCTTAGGGAGCAAATATAGAAAAATGTCTTCATTCTAGAGATCTAAATTTTATGGCTCTCCCCCTTTGCTTTCTGTTATCACTTGTTTTCTCTAATTTTAGGCAGCAACATGAGGACCCTTTTTGCACTTGATCAGAGGAAAACAACTGAAATCCAAGACAAATGAATTTCGAGAAACACATGCTATGGAGCAATTTAAATAAAATATAAAATTGCTTCTAAACTTGTTTCCCTTGGGATGCAAATAGTAGAAAAGTGAGCCAAAGTGAAATGTCCTTTACTGAGACTTTGTAGGGAAGTTCTATGTTCAATACATACTCATCAACAGACAGGGGACTGTATGAGTATGTCACTGTGGCTTCACAGCACACCACCTATTTCCCCATGAGCAAAGACTTCTGATGACATGCCCTTCAGACAGATCCGACTGTACTGTTGGTTTCAGTACTATGTCAAGAAGTCTGAAGTACAATTTGTGACTCAAGAAGAACATTTTGTACTATACCTCCTTCTGCTACATTTTTGTCTCTTCATTCTGTAGAGACAAATGTTATCAGCAGGTCTTGTGTTAGATATCGGTATACCTGTATGTGTTATTTAAGGGAAATGTAGAAAACACCACATTAAAAGAATATACAAATGTTGAAACAATCCATTTCAATATATTTAAAACTGGATAGCAAAACAGAGCAAAGAACCCACAGTCCAATGGACCAGAATCTGGGTAAGGTCACTGGGCCCCATCTCTTGGAGGAATAGCCACATGGTAGCCTGATCAACATCAGGTCAAACCAGGTCAACATCAGCACCAATCATACATCAAAGGAAAGGGCACTCCACCACTGAGGCAGCATGGCAGAGAAGCTCTTAGGATGCGGTGTGTGTCGTATTTCGACAGAGACATTCTGGGAGAGTATTATAGGAAAGTGACTCCCAGATGAGAAAGCGATTCATTAAAGATAATCATGTTGGTCCATGACAACAAGGCAAAGGCAAAACTCACAGGCAGGCAGTAGCTTTATGAAGGCCACCTAAAATTCCACTGAAGTGTGCAAGTTTTTCAGTTCTCCAGAATTCTTTCTCCTGCTAGATGTGGAACTCAAAACTCATAGCCTCTGCCTAAAATTTCCAGCTTCCCTACTTAGTTTGCACACTAATCTATTGTGTTACTTAATCTGGTGAAGAGCGCTAAAGAACTTGAAAATTTACGTTGCACTGGTGGAATTTTAGGTGGTCTTGGTAATGATATTGCCCACCTGAGAACAAATGATGCCATGGAACACGAATAAGGGGAAACAAAGATGTGGTGAATGTATGCTGTTGTTTGTCCAACAAACTGCAACTGAGCATGGACTGAGTTCCTACTCCTGTCCTCTGAAGATGCCGGCCACAGAAACTGGCGAAACGTCAGGAAGAACAACCTTCAGAACATGGCCAAAGAGTCCGAAAAACCCACAACAACCAAAGGCTGTGGTGCCTACAGTATTTCAGTTGGTACCCTAAGTTAATTTTATGCTACATATTGTTGCTGTTTGGTATATATACGAAGTGTTGAGAATTTTGATTATAATGTGTATTCTCATAACATCAGCAGAATAAGAAGATACTGGTAAGCAAAGATACTTATGACACTGAGAGAGTAAAACAATTTCACGTAAGCAAAGATACTTATGACATTATGACACTGAGAGAGTAAAACAATTTCACTTAACACTGGTGAACTGGAGTCCTTTATGTGATGCTTTCCCATAAAGAATTATCCTGCCTTGAACAGGGGTTGAAATAGGTGGCCAAAAGCACTGTGATGCTATGATACTACGATACTCTTTGCTGGTGGGGGGAAAAAAGCAAAAGAGCAATGTTCCAGGTAGTGCAACAGGTTGCCCTGGAGTAACCTACTCTTTGCTTTGCTTGGAAAGGGAATGGATGAGAGGAACATAATTTTTAGGAATGGACTGTAGATTTATTTAAACTTTCACTATTTTTGTAATGAAAAATGTGCACATGATTGCATTCACACAATATCACATCTACAGTGGTGCCTCGCTTAACGGGCGCCCCATTTAACAACGAACCCGCATAGCGATTAAGTTTTTGCAATTGTTTTTGCGATCGCATTGCGATGTTTCTATTGGGTAAAAATCGCTTTGCGATGATTAGTAAGCTATTTCGCTTACTGATTTTCGCATAACAATGTTTTCCCAACAGCTGATCGGCGGTTCCAAAATGGCCACCAGGTTAAAAAAAATGGCCGCCCACTGTGTTTTTGCGCCAATTCCTTGCTTACCGGGCAGCAAAAATGGCGGTTGTATAGAGGATTTTTGCATAACGGTGAGTTTTTTGCCCACAGGAACGCATTAAACGGGTTTTAATGCATTCCTATGGGCTTTTTTATTTCACATAGCGACAAATCCACAAAGCGACGATTTTTCCGGAATGGATTATCATCGCTATGCGGGGCACCACTGTAGTTTGGTCTTGAGAGAAATGCTGGAATCAGGAAAGATCCCTCCAGCCTTTTGAGGCCAAATGGCTAATAATGGAGGAGAGAATTACTTTGTTTTCTAGTGTTGAACCTGGCTCATTGGTTTTGAAGCTTCCGAGCATAATTTTTCTTTCATGGTTTCTTCTGCAGTGTAGTTAGTGGGATATCATTGACCGGACTTCACCCCTACACTGTGTTTTCTACTATGAAACCTTAGTACTTGAAATCTGTTATAACAGATACATGCAACAGATTGCTGTAATATTATCTATTTGCTTCCTACCCTAATGATTCAATTGTCCAGCACTTTTACACCACATGCATATGGGCATATACACAGAAATAGTGGGAATACTGTAACTTCTAATTAAATGGATATAGGATTGCAGCCTTAATACAGCACCATTCCAAACAATACTGGATGTTATACCATAGGCAGGCCTGCTCTCATTTTAAGACCTTCTTGCAGAAGCACTTCTCCTGGTCCGATCACTATGAGAGACACAAAAGTGCTGCTTTTGCTTTATTGTATAAATAAAAGAGAATGTATATGAGAATCTCTATAGAACAATATGAAGCATTCCCTAGATCCCAAGGTGTTAAAGTTAATTTTCTGGGCTGGTGATTCTTCTGAGACAGTTGTTACAAAATTTAGTCTGCCCTGTGTGAATTACAGAAGCCAGGATAAAACTTTAGTGTCAGTGTTCCTGGCAGAGCTGTTGTAAAGTACTGTCAGGCAAAGAATACCTTATGCTATACCATAGACAGGACTGCCTATGACTTAGACAACCACCTGGCAGATATCCTTTGATTTGTATTCTTGCATGAAGCAGGGGATTGGACTTGATGGCCTTATAGGCCCCTTCCAACTTCAATATTCTATGATTCTATGAAAGCTTGGACCTAGCTGGAAGGAATCCTGAAAGTTAATTATATATGTACATTATTTATATATATGTATTAATGTATTTACTGTATATTAATGTATTTATATTATTTATATATGTATAATGTAATGTGTGTGTGTAAATATGTGTATACTGTATATTTGTTTGTGTGTATATATGTATATTTATATATATATATAAAGGAACTGTTCCAAGGTCTGAAATGTTTCTCTTCAATGATTTATTACGCATATAAATACATGTATGCATTGCCTCATCTTAGAAGCACTTGTATAAATGTCCTCTGATGTTAATTAGCTGTCTCATAGAAAATTGTTTTAGGTATATTTAATTTTTTTTCTGGAGACAGAGCAAATCCATTTACAGTATTTCCATATACATTTGAGGGGTTTTTTTAAACTCTTTATGATGTGGACTTTTTGAAAAACAAGACTAAGTAGCCAACCAGCTAGCTAGCAGACAAGCTTGTCATCCCTATGACATCATAATCCAAAACGTGCGCCCTCTGGTGGGCAGGAGGCGAACAAGATGACTGCCTGCTCCGGGATTTGAAAGGGTCGCGAATTGAAATGGGAGGTTTTATCCGGAGGCGGGGCCCAGTACGTGCGGCAGCCGCCTTCCTATTGAGTCAGAGGCGCGTTGCGAGCTGCCCGAAAGCGAGGGTAAAGCGCAGAGAAGCCCGGAGAGCCAGCGAGGCGGGCGTGCTGATTCGCGCGCCGTAACAAAGTCGGAAGAATCCTGGGAGGCTGAGCGTTCCAAAGAAAGTTACATTCCAGGCTCGGAGCGGCAGCCACAAGCCGGAGCCCGGCGGCCCCTTTTCTCAGGGAGGCGGTGGCTCTTCCAAGCCCTGGCGGAGCGAGGGCGAAGAGAGGAGGCGAAGGACGGGGGGGTTTCCAGTGGGGGCCGAGAAGATGAATCGGAGTTTTAATAAATCTCAGAGTCTGCGGTATTTTGGTTATAGTGCGGTGGAAGTTAAAAGTAAGGTAAGAAGAGAGAGGCGACTCTACCGAACTGGATTTAACCCTTCTTGCTCCGCGTTCCTACTCCGGTACCTGCCCCCCTCCCACCCCCCTTTCCAAATGAATGACGGCGAGCCTCTTCGGTCTCTTTTTTCTTCTGATCCTTCACGGCGCTTTGTTGTTTGGGTTTTTGTCTTTGAAAGCCGAACTTTCCCGTTAAAGAAACAAAACTTCGCTCTGGCCGCAACTTTTTAACATCGCGTCTTGTGCTTTCGGTTTATGGGAGTCGAAGGCAAGGTACATTCAGTGTATCGCTACGGATCCACACGCGCTCTGGGAATCTCGTCTTTCCTCTCCCAACTGTTCATGCCAGCTCTGAAGTCGCCTCGTTCCCCTTGGGGGGGGGGGAACGGAGCCATTGGCCTCGGGCTCTCCAGGGCGTTTGCTAGGGAGGGGAGCGGCGGTTGGACCCCAAATCCTAGAAGAGTGATGGAGTTGGAAGGGGCCTATAAGGCCATCGAGCCCAACCTCCCGCCCCCCCCGCTCGCCGCTCAATGCCATCGTTATTTTTGATGTCGGATTTTTTTTGGGGGGGAAGGGGCGCCTGATATTTGATTTCTGGCTTCTGTTGCTAGCAATGACTGGATGAAGACGGAGGCATGTTTTCTTGGCGGTGGGCTGCTCGCAACAAAAGGGAGCTCGCCAAGCCTGCTGTCTTTAAAAAAAAAGGGGGGGGAGCACGTTAGCCGCGTTTAGGTCTGGGTTAGTAACCCTTAAGGAGGCCACGGTTAGGGCGGGCTGGAGAGGATGCTGTTGGGACCGGCGACGGAGCCCAACCAAACCAACCCTGCCTTAAAATCGAGTTAAACTTGATCGCCGTTCACGTAGGAGTGACTCCAGAAAGAGCAAAAACGCTCGGCCGCCCTTTGTTAAAACCTCCCATTGTTGTTCCTCGCTTTGTGGCTTGTTTTGTTTGCGGGAGGGCTTCTCTACAAAGTGCGGGAAGGACGAGCGAGACCACCGAGAAGGGGGGGGGGGGGAAACAACATTTTCTCTCTCTTCTTCCCACCACCCTCCACGTTTTGTTTGTTCTCCTGCAACTGCTGGGTCCAACTTTTGACGTTCTTTTTTCTCTAACCGCCGAAGTCCGCCTGCCCTGAAATCCCACGCTGGCCCCTCTTGATGTCTGGGGGAACGGTTTTCCCAGATTGTGTGCAGGCGGCTTTGCGTGTCTTCAGCGGCGGCGGCAGCTCTGCGAACTGGCTGGCTAATCGTGTGTAAACTTGTTCGGAGAGTTGCCTCTCCCGCCGCCGCCGCCGCCTTCTGGAACGGCTTGATTTTCTAGTGTAACTCTTCTCCTCCTCCTCCTTCCTTTGTTGTTAAGTGGAGAAGAGGCGGGGGACCTCCTTTTGCGGGGAATTCTTTTTCCCAGGTTTGCGATTCTCCCTCTGGAAAGACGAGACATCCTCTTACGCATGCCCGATCTGTTTACTCGTGTGTGTGTGTGCGTGCGTGCGTGTGTGTTCACTAGTTGGTGTGCCTTCTCCCTCTGATGGCTTTTGAAGAGCCCTCGGGGGAATACTGAACTTGGGCAAAGCCTGCCTTTCATGCCCTGGGATCGAACCTGGCCAATGACCGGGTGCGTTCATGTAATGAGGCATAAATTATATACATCTGAAGCATATGCTTGGAACTCAGTCTCCTATTTCAAAGTGGCTCCAGTTGGTATATATATAAAAACAACAGGGAACAGATGAGGCCAGTTCAAAGGAACATCCAGTCCATGGGTAGGAACCTGTGGCATTTCTGATTATGATGGTCCACAGCTCCCATTATCTCTGACCACCCGCCAGGCTAACAGAGTGCCATTCCAGCTGGATCTGAAGGGCCCCAATGCTCCTCATCCCAGTCCACTCCATAGGTCTCTTGGTCACAGTGACACGGTCTCTTTTGACACTCTGCTGCCAAGTGGGAGCCAGTGAAGAGGACAAGAAATCATGGTCCTCTTCCTCTCATTGTATGGCCCTTGAGCTTTTGGAGAGATGCTGCATCTCTGAATGGGAATGTTTCCTGTTGCTGCAGTGGCTGACAGGACCATCAAGGGCTGGCTGCCCTGCAGAATTGTCATTTTCAAAGCCATCACACAGTTAGTGACTGCCTTCACATCGAGCAGCACTGAATTTCTTTGGCTAACTGTGGGTGGTGTCAAATAGTACTTCCTGTTGTTGGTTGCTGTGGGTTTTTCGGGCTCTTTGGCCATGTTCTGAAGGTGGTTCTTCCTGACGTTTCGCCAGTCTCTGTGGCCGGCATCTTCAGAGGACTGGAGTAGGAACTCAGTCCATGCTCTGTTCCCACTGCAGTCCTCTGAAGATGCCGGCCACGGAGACTGGCGAAACGTCAGGAAGAACAACCTTCAGAACACGGCCAAAGAGCCCGAAAAACCCACAACCAGCATCTTCAGAGAACTGGAGTAGGAACTCAGTCCATGCTCTGTTCCTACTCCAGTCCTCTGAAGATGCCGGCCACAGAGACTGGCGAAACATCAGGAAGAACAACCTTCAGAACACGGCCAAAGAGCCCGAAAAACCCACAACCACCATCAGATCCCAGCCATGAAAGCCTTCGAGAATACTTCCTGTTGTTGTTTGCGAATGTACTGTCAGATGCAGGACCAACCCTATCAGTAGGCAGTCTGAGATGGTTGCCTTAAATGGCAGGTTGTGTGTCATAGCTGAGGTGCTTCCCTTCTTCTGGAGGGCAAAAATGTGTTCCAGGGAGCCTGCTCTGCTCCCCATAAGGACATGTGAGACCTTTTGTAAGTGGAGAACACTGTTCCTTCACCAAATGAGATTCAGCTGCCAGTCATGTTAACTTTTATAGGTGGAGTAGGGGTGGGGGCTGCCATTTGGACTTCAACCTCAGGAAGCAAAATGTCTTGCCACTAAGTGAACCTGAATCTTGTGAAACAACAAGAGGAATTTCCTTCCCTCTGTCTTTTTTGCCCCCATAAATGATGTTATAAATCATTTGTTTTTTCTCTGCTCACTCTCCTCTACCCTTGACTCCAAGATTCAAACTGTTGTAGAGGAGCAACTTAAAACACATTGGACCATAAGGAAGGCTATGATCATCTGAGAACAGGTTCCACTGTGTTATGTTGCCATGCACGGCCTACTGTGACATTGTAGTGCTGCATCATAGGTTCCCTGTGACATCACTGAGAACTTTTGAAGGTATAGTCAGTTCAGGCAAGAAACCAGCTGTCCAGGGAGCAACAAGAGGTTATATTAATGTACTGGTTTTGGTATTATGGATAGTGTCTCTTCAGCTATGCTGATGTTCATCTTTTGATAGTCTATGATCAAACATCTATTCATTTTAGCATTGATAGGTTTGTTAGATCTTTCTTACAGCATTCTGGCCTCACTTTCTCTGCATTAACATAGTGGTCTGTGCTTTGACCACCCTCTTCTTCTCAGTTTGGACTGGTTATTGTATACGCAACAAGCCATTTATTTCACCAGGAGCTTCACTTCTGTATCCCCTTCAGCAGCTTTCACTGTAGTGTTGACATTAGATCAGTCTTATATTAGGAACCTCCTTCAGTGGGCAAGAGATGTTGAAATTACGAGAAATACTTCTTGTCCACCCCGGGGGGGGGCAGGTTCCTCTCTATTTTTACCTTTTCTCTCCATTTGGCTTTTTAAAAGACACGATCAGCAACGAATGGTCAAGTCACTGGAACTGATAAGAATTGTAGTCCAAAGATACGGATGGACTGTTGTAAAGCAATACAAGAGGGTCCTGGATGTTTTTATTATCTTAGGTTCTCTAATTAGTTAGGGATTAGTTGTTTCTCTTGTTCTTAAAATCATATTTTTCACTTTCATGCTTAATAAGCACAACATATGCATACATTTCGTATGCTCTGAGACTGATCATAGTGCAAGTTCTGATAACAGACAGTACAGGGCTCCTGCTGTCAGAAGCATGTGCTGTACTTGGCATTGTTTGAATGAATAATCTTAGGGGAATTAATTGGTTGTGTATCTATAAATACAAACAATTTGTGCTTAATCTCAATCAATTGGCCTAACTTTCAAGATTTTAAGCCAACAAAACCCCTAATATACTCACATATTGTGGACAATTCAAAGCTTTAAAAATTTCTCTTTTTTGGATTACAATTTCCAGAATCACTCAACCATCTTAGCCACTGGAAGTTATAGTTCAAAACTGTTTTTCCCCAGAGTTTTTGTTCTATATATTTCAGGGGTAAGGATGTTTCTTTTGACACTGTGTGTCCGAAATATGAGGTCGAGAGTACTAAATTACCTGTGGTTCCTTAATAACTTCCCAGTCATCTTACAGGCTAGAACTTTATCAATGAGATTTCCCAGTATCTGGGATGTTGTTGTGTTACCGTTCCTATTACAGTGGCACCTCAGTTTATTAACACCTCGGTTAACGTAATTTTAAGTTTGCGAAGCAAAATCCATTGAAAATACTGCCTCGGTTTATGATTTTGTCTTTTGGGTTGTTTTTGTTTTCAGAGCTTGAAGAAAGTTTCCCCAGGATGCATTGTGCCTGGAGGTTTGTAGTGCCACCACCGTTCCTATGGCAATCCGCGTTTTGGTTTATTAATTTTTCGCGTTACGTAATGTCCCATTGTTGTTTAGTTGTTAAGTTGCTTCCAACTCTTTGTGACCCCATGCACCAGAGACGTTTCGATTTATTAATTTTTCGCGTTACGTAATGTACAATTGTTGTTTAGTTGTAAAGTTGCTTCCAACTCTTTGTGACCCCGTGCACCAGAGCACGCCAGGCCCTCCTATCTTCCACTGCCTCCTGGAGTTTGGTCAAATTCATG